ACCAGGTGCAGAAACCGCCTGCACCAGAAATCCCCCCAAGGCTCACTCTCAGCAAAAGTTCATCCTTCTTCCCAGAGTTGCCACTCTTCCGAATTTTGATAATTGTTTTCTTTATTTTTTCACCACCTCTGTTTGTATTCCTAAATAATATAAATTAGCTTTGTCTGATTTTGGAACCCTTTCCTACTTTTTTATTTTGAGAAATCTCAAACCTACAGAAAAGTAGCAAAATAATTCAGTGAACCTTTGCATATTGTTCACCTAGATTTTCAATTTTTAACATTTTATCATGTTTTCTTTATTATCTCAATGGATGGATATACATGTATATTTTATTTGCTGAATCATTGGAAAATAAGTGACAAGCCCTGGTTTTAAACTTTGTATGAACAAATGTATACTATACATGCTATTTTGTGTCTCCTTTTTTTATTGTTATAAAATTTGTAGGATTGATCCATGTTGCAAGAGCTGTAATTTGTTCATTTTACATTATTGTGTATTACTGTGGATTATTCCATGTTTTTACCTACCATAGTTTATTTTTTCTAATGTTGAGAGACATTTGAGTTATCTCAAATTTTTCTTACTGCAAACAATACTGATATTAACATTGTTATATTTCCTCTTGGTACACATGTGTGCATTTCTGTGAGATATATTGCAGTGGTAGAGGGAATCGGGTATATATATCTTCAGTTTTGCTATATATTAATAATATGAAACTATTTTTCCAGAGATACTTTTTCCCTTCCTCATAGCAATGTTTTAGAGTTTCAGTGCTCTGCTTTCTATATAACACTTGGTTGGTATCAGACTCTAAGATTCCTGCCAATGTGATATGTGTGCAACAGTATCCCTTTGTCTTAATAATTTACATTTCTCCAATTACTCATAGACTTGAGCCCCTTCTTATGTTTATTGAGTGTTTGATTTTTGGTAATAGATGATATTAAGGAATAATTTTTGTTAAGCGTAACAATTTCTTTTAGAAATGCATACTGAAATATTTAGGGTGTAATGTCAATTTACTTTAAAATATTTCAGCATAAAAAAGTAAAGACACAGATAACATTTCAGTGACATCAAAAAATGTTTCCTAGGAATAAATCAAAAAGTGCTGAAGAACTCTGTCAACAAAAATATAAAATCTTACCTAGTCATTAAAGAAAACAGACAAAAATAAACAGAGATGGGCCGGGCGTGATGGCTCACGCCTGTAATCCTAGCACTCTGGGAGGCCGAGGCAGGCGGATTGTTTGAGCTCAGGAGTTCGAGACCAGCCTGAGCAAGAGTGAGACCC